GCCTTAAGAAGACACCGCTACAGAGCTACTAGTTTTTCAATATTCGATATTACTTATGTCGTGAACCACCAATAAAACGCTTTCTAAACTTTCCTAAATTTCTTAAGATGACTTCGCTGCTTTTGGAGGTGAGGGGAGGAGCTAGTGGACTACCACAGTGAAGACAGTCCTCCCCTCACCTTGACCCTGGGAGGTAAGATTTTATTTCCATAGTATCTGTAAGTAAGGTGGCCCCTATGGGAATTGCCTGTATTGTGTTAGAAACTGACATTTTACACAATAGTAATTCTCCATGAAATTACCCTAACATCTCGGTAAGGGATAGCAGCAGGTGCACAAAGTGTTAGAACAGAACGGAAAGTGCCTAAAGACATTTCACCTTCTACTTCCTTCAAATAATTAGTACAAAAAAAGAAACATTTATTTTGCTAAATCCACGCTCTACGGATTTTTTTTTATTATTATTAAACGCAAACACGTGTACACTTTCTGTTTTGGTATATTTTTGTTCTTAATGCTCTTGATTACGGATAAAAACCTCTAACTTGACTGTCTGGCATTAATATAATTAAATAGATTTTGAAAAACAAAATAGATGGGTCTGAGTCACTTTACATGTCTGACAAGTTGACGCTGATAGTAACCAGTGTTAAGCAGTCTGAGACACTTCACATGTCTGACAAGTTGAAGCTGATAGTAACCAGTGTTAAGCAGTCAGAGTCAATTCACATGGCTGACAAGTTGACGCTGATAGTAACCAGTGTTAAACAGTCTGAGACACTTCACATGTCTGACAGGTTGAAGCTGATAGTAACCAGTGTTAAGCAGTCTGAGACACTTCACATGTCTGACAAGTTGAAGCTGATAGTAACCAGTGTTGAACACGTTCAGTGGTGTAGAAATAGATGGTGAAGATTGGGACAATTGTCTCAAGACTCATCGAAAATTATGAAAAAAGTTTTATATGTAACGAAGAATAGATATGACTATAAAGGAAATAGGAAATAAAATATAAATATAATAAATAATAATAAGTCAATCGAATTTATATTTCCATTTTCGCTATTTATTGAGCAAATCTTCAATTCCTCTCTTGAAGGCATCTTAGGTTATCTATTGCACAATATGAATAAGAAATAGTGGTTGTACATAAACAATGTGTTTTCAAAAATAAAAACATATCTCGTTACAACAAACAAGAGATACAATGTATTGTGCAAATTCACAAAAACTGAGAAACATTTTTTTTTTCCAGCAACATTGAGTCGAAAGCACACCCAGTAAATATTGAACGCGAGGATAAAATCTCGATTGAGTTATTATTATTATTATTTCCTATCATTAATTCATCAACTTTATAGATTTTGCCATTTTGTATTAGCATTTAGAGATGGCTCTGGTGATGCTACGAACTGAAAACAACTATCGTATTTTTCGGAATATAAGACGCTCCCTTATTTTGAAGACAAAGTTTTGGGGGAAAAAAAGCTACAGTCGCATTTGAAAGGTTTTTTATTGAACAAAATTCAGTTTAATACTTTAAAAATTAGTA